AAAACGCACGCCTTTAAAGACATGATACTTCACGCCACGCGACTCGATTCAGCGCACGACGTAACACCTTAATCAAACCCAGTCGCCACCCATGGGAATACGGATAGTGCCGTAATATTGAGTAAGAACTGCATGACACGTTCGTCCCGTCTTTGCCTTCGAATCCAGTCGTAACCGCAGGGAATGAACGCTCCCGTGAATACGGTCCAGGGGATCGCAAAAGCCCGGTGCACAGCCTGACTCAGTTTAAATCGCTCCTAGCCTGACTCATCCCAGCGATGCGAGGTTCCCACTGCACTGCCGTTTGTGAGTCACCGCCTAACCTATGCACGGGGTGCACACTGCCGTGCATTCACTGGCCGGTCTGATGGGCCTCCGCGCGCCCACACGAGGGCGAGGCTGAGGGCGCCGCCCGAGACGCGGCGGCACACCCCATGTGGAGGCCCGACCTCCGAGCCCAAAACACTGCGTGCGGAACGTCATTACAAGTGGTCCGCTTGGAACACTCGCAGGACCAGAGCGTCTTTCACATTCAGCGTTGCGGCAGAACCTGTTCGAATAGGTCGGCTATTTATTGGGGCTCGCAGCTGGTGGGCTCCAACTTTACGAGAAGTAAGCCCTCTTTTTCTGTATTCCTTTTTGAAGGAAAGACGGCCTACGTGTTCCCGCGCTATGTCATGGAGCGTCGGAGACTTCAGAGGCCACGTTAGCGCTTAGGACGCATGGGGAAACCGCGGTTCGAAGCCGGAAACCCCCACGTGGGAGCTAATTGTGCTAACCACTCGGCCATCACGCCTCCCGCGGGCATCGCAGACAAAAGTGGCCTGGTCTCCGTGTGGGGAACGAGCAAGGCCGAATTACTGACACGTCGGGCTTGGAGCCCGCATAGCTGTCACACCAGGCTGCGTCTGAGAGGCCGCAAGGGTCATGCGGGCCACATGACCTTATCACCGCCTGAGCGGTCATGGCCGCGGACACCTTCTGCCTCTGGAGCCCTCACCATTCGCCATACTTGCAAACGTCACTCGCAGCTTTACTCTGAGTGCCCACCCGTTTTTGCCAGCGTGTCTACTGTAACCTGTACCAAGGTCTATTCCGCACGCGCTGCGGCATCACAGTCAGGTCAGGTCTGCAGACCAGGCGCTCTGCCTGCATCCGGCAGAGGTGGGGATGGGAGCTGGGCGGACCCGAGGGAAAGACCCCCAAAAATGGAGGGGCAGGCGACATAGACACAGCTCACAAACGCTGCGCTGAAAGACGCAAAACATGAGGCATTTTACGAACAAACGCCTACCCGGCCGCATACTCCGGGGCCCTGTGAGAACGAAACCTACAGAACGTTTCCAGCTTGTTCGTGGGTCCTCGCCCGTTTGTCCTCAGATTAACGAATGAATGATGGAGAACCACCCACCACGCTAGATAGCTGAGCTCCTCTTAGACACCGGCAGAATCCACTTGTCAGAGGGATTGTCGCGCCACCCAGCTGGCAGCCCAGTACGCTCCTTCTCCGGCAAGACAAGTTTTCCCGCCAGCTCCTGGCGATGTACGGCCGCCACACACCACTCATACAAATTGCACGGTGCACGTGGCCGGCTGTCACGTGCACATGCTGCACACCGCATTCACTCGGCACGTGCCTAAGACGGTGTAATCCGTGAGCCCCCTTGATGGGAGTGCTGTCCGTCAAGGAAAGAAGGCATAATACACGAGCCCACCCACAGGTGCGCCCGGCTCACTCCTCAATTCTTCCCTCCCAGGGGTGCTGTCCGTCGAGGAAAGAAGGCATAAGACACGAGCCGACTCACAGGTCACCGGGCTCACTCATTCATTCTTCCCTCCCAGGGGTTCCGTCCGTTGAGGAAAGGCACGCGCCACGAGCCGACCCACAGGTGCGCCGGGCTCACTCCTCAATTCTTCTCTCCCAGCAGTGCTGCACGTCGAGGAAAGAAGGCACGCGCCACGACCCACAGGCGCGGTGGACTCACTCTCCATCAACTCCAGCTGTGTCGCTTCACCCCGGTGAACAGCATCCGCGCAACGCTGCCTGCTGTGCATCGTGTAGTAAGGTGTTCACACTAACAGGGCTTTGTTCATCTGGCCGGCAGCCCTCTAAAGGCCGCTCAGACTACGACCAGCAAGCCCTCGTATATAGCTACTTTACAATGCATTATCTCCAGTTGTACATAATTGCGGTGCATGGGATACATGCATGCGCAATTGTCACCGCATGCCTGTGTACGAAGCCGTCTTGCATACAGTATTTGTTGTGTACAACTGCATCAGGCCTGGAGCTACGAGCAAGGCACCGAGTCGTGAAGCCCACAACCAAAGCGCATATAGTAGTCTAGTTTACAAGATCAGCTGACGCGCACGCAGATGGCCTCCCGCGGGCTTCATAACCACTTAGTTGGTAAGCCTGCAAGTCCAGCTGGTATAGCAGGCGTCAGAAAAGACGACTGGTACCACGTGATGCACCCGAAGCAGGCAGCAGCAAGCGGCTCGCCTGTACACGATCGGTTGCCGCGTCATATCTGCACAGACTCCGGAGAGAACAATCGCTGCCCTTGATGTACCGCAATATAAGCCTTCAGGAGGCAACGCACAAAGATGCGCAGGACGAGTCCGTCAGTGGCTCAAGGCCACCGCTTCAGAACAGATGTGGGAAGCAGCACAGGGTGCTCTACGGGAGCCTACGGGAGCCTACGGGAGTCGTCAGAAGCGGCCAGGAGCATGGCAGGGCTGCTACGGGAGCCTACGGGAGCCCGCGGGAGTCGTCAGGAGTGGCCAGGAGCCTGTCGGGGCCGCTACGGCAGCCGGCACGGCAGGCCGTCAGCTCCGGCGGACTTCGGCCGGGTCTGGCGCCTCCGCTGCCGTGCAGCCGTCGCCGTCCGCGTGCTCGCAGGATTAGCGGCGCCGGCGGGCCGCCAGTGAGCCCGCTCACGGCATGTCACCGCCTCACGCCGAGCGCAGGGCAGACGGCAGGCAGACGTGTTCGTCGCGCTTGTCGTGTTATCTCGCCTGCGTCTCCGCTTCAGAGAACAGCCCGATGGCTTATCGGTGTAAAAGTGTGACTTTGCTGCATGAGCGTGCTGGAGCATTTGTTCAAAAGCGTTTCTTGCATCGAGAACAATAGCGACGGGTGGATAAAAATGGGCAATGAAGTACATCATGGTCTTTCATCAGTACCGTAGACAGAGGCGTACGCACATAGCAACTACCGGGGGTACGTGCACCTCGTTTTCCAAAGTTATGGCATGTACTTACTTATATGCATGTGATTGTTGATAGGTCAGATCCTAGCCAGACACGTAAAAATCACAATCAGAGAGCACGCAACGTTTTTTTTTTCTTAACGATATCCGGGAAATCACGCGGCGCGCTAAGCTCTGTTTTCAGGAAAAAAAATTGTTAAGTTGTGCCCCTCTTCCATTGTGAAACCCTGCGTACACTCCTGATAGCAGATATCATGTCTGCAATCCCACGCACCGGAGGGGTGAACATGCAGTCAGACGACAGCACGTCCAGGCGCCCGATGAGTCCAATCCTGCCGCCCTATCTTCCGAGTGCATCACTCGAGATGCGCCTCTGAGCCAATCACAAAAGATCCGACCTTACGCCGACCCGTCGTGCCCGCCGCCCAGACACCGGCCCCAGGCGACGGGACTCCTGCCCGGACACCGGCGCCAGGCGGCAGGACTCCTACCCGGACACCGGCGCCAGGCGGCGGGACTCCTGCCCGGACACCGGCGCAAGGCGACGGGACTCCTGCCCAGACACCGGCGCCAGGCGGCAGGACTCCTGCCCGGACGCCGGCGCAAGGCGACGGGACTCCTGCCCGGACACCGGCACCAGGCGACGGGACTCCTGCCCGGACAGCGGCGCCAGGCGGCAGGACTCCTGCCCGGATACCGGCGCAGGGCGGCCGCGCTCCTGCCGGATCCGAGCCGCCAGCACTGCGGCAAACGTGACGCGCCCGACGCGCTTCGGCCGTCAGCGGCGGCCAATTAGCGCCGTGTCTGATGATGTGGCGATCACGGCGCATCAATCACGTCTCACGGCCACGCTCCGTAGTTCAGCGCCTGGCGAAAACGACCGGGCCGGGCAGGACCGCTCGCGACGAACAGCTGTTGAAGCCCTCCGCGCGAGTTACTTCGCGAACGCAACTCTAACCGCGATCGCACCAGGAAGCCGTTACACAGAAGCAAGTGCGGTGTAGGTAAGGCTTTGCCTCTTCACTTTGTGTGTGTGGGGGGGGGGGGAGACATGTACGCTCTTTAAGTACGCTGGCCTTAGCATCGCGTCATGCAAGCACGCAGGACATCCATACACGCCGCTGCTTGATAAGACGCCAAAGCCGAAGCGTCCAGTTGTCAAATGTCTTAGGATCGGTGTCCACAAGGTACGTCAAAGTGGGCATTAGTTATCACAACACACGCGTTGCCTAAGCCCGTCGTCACTGCGCTGAACGGCCTTCACTATCAGCCCTGGTCATCGCGAATTCGCGGCGAATTTAGCGTATTTCTTCCACAAGCCTGCTCAGCTTACATTATTTCCAGTGCATCCCTGAAAGGAAAAGGCTGACCACAGCTCAGCGTATCCGCCGTCCAGCACGACAGCAGAAGACTGATGACGGCTCCCCGTGCCAATCCCGGCGGCGGCAGAAAAAGGCTCGACCAGACCAGAAAAAAAAACAATCTGCCTACTCAGCAAGCCCGAACGGCGACAACCACAGGGGTGCCACGTTGAGGTTCACTCCGCCCAGATCCCACACCGAGTCAGGTCGAGTGCAGCGATTCAGATCGAGTACAGCGTGTCAGGTAACCCGAGCGACGCTGAGCGTGACCTCCAGCTGTAAAAAACAGCGCTAACTGGTGGCTCACATACAGCGGCCAGGTGTCAGAAGTCATGTACTAGAAGTGTTCTGAAGAGAGCTAATTAGAAGAGCTCTCAGCTATCTGAAGTGACTGCGGTTTGGGCGGCGGTACCAGCCTTGAACTGACCTCCAGCAGGGTGACGGACACGATGAAGAGCGGGGGCGGCCAGCACCGGTAGTGGTCGGCGTAGTACTTGCGCTCCCGCTCCTCCAGCAGGCAGACGTCGCCGCGCCGCTTGCCCATCCTGCGACGAAGCGGCGCTGCGGTTAGCGGCGGTGGTCCGCTCATGCACGATCGCGGCGGGTTCAGAACACGGCCGATGACACAGAACACGCAGGACTCGAGGTCATCCGATGATGACGAGGCGCAGTCATCAGTCAGCGCGCTACCCATCGTCGAAGAGACGCCTTCCTCTCCACCCCCTCTCGTCCCATGCTTGGCATAACAACGTCGGTATGTTGCGTCCAATCAAAGGTCTTGTATAGTCCTGCCAGCTGCGAGTCCACAAGGCCTTCACTGGCAGCCAGCGGCGCGCTGGAGAAGCGCAACAGCTCGTGCAGGACATGCCAGTGGTGGCTGGGACGGCATTCTCTGGCACACAGCCGCAGTTCCGCCCCAGCAGATACAGCGGCTCGGTTTGCCCCGTGCCAGGACGGCTTCACCAGCGGCCGGCAGCCGTCCCGCCGGACATGCTCAGCACGTCGGTAGCCTCGGCACGGGGCAGCTGAGGGCGAGCCGGGGAGAGGCATGCCTCTGACATTCTCCTCGGCAAACAAGCGTCCGATGTTTTGCATCAAAGGGAGGGAGTGCCCACTTCCAGGTCATTAATTCAACTGCGCAGGAGTGTACCTAGAGTGTGCGCGTTCGCCACGGATTGAAAAGCAGTTACGTCAAAGTTTCATCTTTAGTTGAATCCTTGTACCGAAAATGGCTAATTCTGTGCTTTCTTCCATCTACTCCTTCCCTAACACTATAAAAAGACGCATTCTCGTCTTCAAGACTTACGTTCGCTTCAACTATCAGCGGCCAGTGTTGCTTTGGTGCATTGTGTGACAAACGCATTCTATTATAAATCGCATGGAAGTTTAGAAGGCATTGCTTCTTTAGAAACACACCATCGAAACACTCAAATGCTGCGGAAACTTTGCGGCTTAGGCTTCGGCGCATCAGAAAGCCCCTGCCGGCCGCGAGCAACGAAAAAGCCTGGTCGCTGCCACGATGTGATGAATTCGTCAGGTCGCTCAGACTCGTTGGCCAGCAGCCTTATGCTTGCCACCATACGTGGAATAAATCGGTCCCATCTGCGATTCCGTCCAGTTATTTCTTTTTGAGTTGAAATTTGATTCAAACAGATTGCTTCTGCATGCATTGCATGGCAAAGTTGCACCTTCTACCGTCGCCCATGCCGACAGCTAGATGCGCCCTCCAATGTGTGTGCCCTCTGTTGCGGCCCAGGCGCGCTCTCTACTGTGCCCTCTACTGCAACCCATCTGAAGGAGTGGCGTTATCCCACTTAAAGTCCCGTATTTTCATTGCAGAGCACCCCTATGGCGGCCTCAAAAGGTGGCAGCCCCCTCGAGTGATGATGATACTTGACGATGTGAATGATGTCACTGACATGCGACTCTCCACCTTCATCCCGCACCTTAATGGTAGATATGCGACAAAATGCACCAACGATCATGCATTAAAGATACACGCGCATGATGCAATTATTTCGTCATATTCCATGCTAGCCAGTATTCTGCAACCAAAATTACGATAAACATTTTAAATTGGCCGGTCATATTCTCGAGAGCGAAACGCGAGAACATCCATGATCCTGCACCGCTCACTGCAGCTACACGTATCGGCTAATATATCTCACGAAGTTTTGAACCTTGAGAGCGATTGCCCGCATGGTCCACCTGCACCGTTTTTAAAGGGACAAGTCCTTTATTATAGCGATAAATGTGAGGCTTTCACGTGATGTCATGTAACAGCACAACAGCGTATAAAAACAACCATTTATATTTTCAGTCAAACCCTTAGATATACTACCCACCAAGAACCTCATGCAGTTCGAACTACAAAGCCCGTTTCCAGAGGCCGTATGCTTCCAAATACTTCACTGACGATAGAGGCCTGTGCGTCCCATTGCATGGCAAGATGATTGATACATTTGCATTGCACACGTACAGAATTGCAACATTTGCAATTGACGCGCCGTGCAGGAACAATGACGGGAGTGAAAATGACAGAACACGTCAGTTAATTGGCGTAGCGGGCGGGACGCGAAGAATCGTCAAGGTAAACCACGCTGCTCCGTGAAGAACTGCACGCATCATTTGCGCGTAATGTGTATGATCGCCGTCAGCGCAGTGTGCACAACGCCGCGGTGGCAGACTGCGGTCAGACATGCCTCGAATGCACATGGCACACCCGTCCATAACGTGGCATCGAGTTATCAGCCGGCGGGCTTTCCCGAGAGGCGAGCCGGCCGACTCTGAGGCACGCACGGTCACGGCGGACGGGCCGAGGGCGGGGAGAGGTTGGCGGCGCGACGGTCGGCGAGGGAGAACGGAGCAGAACGTCAGTGGACCGCCGCCCCACCACACTCCCGCGCGACTGTCGACGATGGAGAACGGAGGAGAACGTCAGTAGTCTGCCGCCCCATCACGATCTCGAGCGACGGTCGGCGATGGCGAACGGTGAAGAGCGTCAGTAGACCCTCACCCCATCACACTCTTGAGCGACGGTCGGAAATGGAGAACGGCGAAGAGCGTCAGTAGACCGCCGTCCGATCACACTACCAACGTCACGGCCCGGATCAGGCTGTCCGAGCACAGTCAAGCGCCGCGGGGTAGGAGGGGGCGGCGGACTGGGGCTGCCCGGCAAGCGTTGACCCCGCCCCTATTTCAGGACAGGATACCTTGGTTGGGAGTGAGAGGTTGGACCATGGAGAGGAGGAAGTGAACCACTTTGATCAGGTCAGGTGGACCCGGTCAACCTCTCTATGCGGGCTGGATGGAATTCATTCAATAACAACAACAATAATGATTGGGGTTTTACGTCCTAGCGACGGCCAGGACCATTTCGAAACGGAGAACGCATTCATCCAAGAGTGTTGTGGGTGGGACTACGGCTAGATCACGAAAAACGTTCGCACAACTCATGGAAAGCAGCTGTTGCACATCTTTCTTCCGCAGTCGGCCATTTTGGCCGCAGGTGACTGCGTTCCTGAATGCGAGTTCCGTCTCAGCACGTAATGTCCGGGTGAGGCCGTGTTATGCACCTGCATGACACGGGACATGGCGCCACTCCCCAGGTGCGCCAGGTGCGCCAATTTCGTCGCACTTTTTCTCGCGCTGAAAAACTGAAAACCGGTTTCCGGTCGTTGATTATGCAGTTCCAATCGTCACGAAGAAAACATGAACTAGAAGATCGGAAGCCCGTTAAGCCTTACGAGCATGAATATTTTTCAGCGTCTTGCATTAAGCCGTTGCGTGACATCCTCTTCAGCATACGTGGTCAGTACTTATTCAGATGTTTCAAGGATGGAGACAAGAAAATATGCATGGAGTACACGTGTGAGGCTCAAAAGTATCCCCGGTGTCAGGTGTGGCCGCTTTCCGCTCACAACGGTCGCTCCACATTACGTAAGAGCCTAGCACACCACACCAGCACCGCACATTGCCTTCACCATACAAACCCTGGCGGCGATCAGCGCCATTAAGTGGAGCAAGAGTTGTTCACCACAGGGTCTATTTTATCATGTTAGCTGGGGGGGGGGGGGGGGTAATCCCCATCAGTCCCCCCCCCCCCCACCGCCCGCGAAAACTGGATCTTCTGTCAGCTTACGTTCGATCAGGCCTTTGAAACAGCTCAGGCCGAGGTCGGAGTCGCCGTGGACACTAAGCATTCTGTATGGGGCCAAACATTCCGCTGTTCTTAAATGAGACAGGAAGAGGATCAAACACGGGCGAGAAGCCGTTTTTCAGGACGTCAGACAGGTCCGTGTCACACGGGTTAGGCAGGACAGGTCAGATCGGCAAGACAGGCTCGCAGAATTTCTTGCGTGCCCTAAAATACAATCGCATGTTTTCGATCTTATTTTTTTAGTGTCCACGTCTGTCAGCTAAAACTGATTGGCGATGATATGTGCCGCCGTTTGGGTAATGTTAAGACCAACAGGTGCTGTTCATGCTTGTGACAGTTCCTGGATTCCACTCTGATTGGTTCAATTTTAAGAACAGCTCCGACCACAAGGAAGATAAGACAGACCGTGTAAAAAGCGGCGAATCCAGCTGTTGGGTGAACGCAAAATGTAAAGCTTTGAACATGACGAGTGTGGCATTATACAAGTGATATCCAATTGTAAGTTGGTTCTGTCCTTTTACCCTGCGGTCTGTTGGCCTCGGGTCAAACCGCTTCCGATGACGAAAAATCCTACAAGGGGTTTTGAAGGCAAACACAATCCGTCCCTTTAACCCCATGCAACGTGACAAGGCTAATGTCAGGTTCAATGAATCTGAGACGCAGCTGACACTCTGACTGCACTTAATCAACACTTGCTACTGTGTTGTTCGGGGGCGGGGGACAAAAAGGGGCAGCTTCTCATGTGCCCCCCCCCCCCCCCCTGTGTTTCCACCAACCGCGGGCTTGCTCCCATTGGCTGTCCTGCTATACGCTACCCTTTGCAGCACTGCGCATCATGGTCCGCACAAAGCAGCGTCCATCCCAGTTATTAAATACGGACATTTTGTTGGTGTTAAGATCTTTTTGGGCATACCCATGCACAAAAACAATTACTGTACCCCATATTTGGAAGTGCGTGCCCCTCCCTCCGTAATAGGTTTATGGCATGCGTTAAAATATGCGTGATTAAACATTGAGTTCAGAATAGCAGGTATGTGCGTAAAAAAAACAAGATAGCGTGAATATGCCATGTCGGCAAACGACACCCAACCAAATGCCAGCGCCTGTCACGCGTTGAACTCAGCTTTTAGAAACACGTGTACCCTTTTCCCCATTATGGAATCCTACGCTCGTCTCTGATAAAAGACGTTTCGAATGCTGATGTTTTAAGCTTGACGTTATCAAATAGAACACGACAGTTTAATGGCATACTACACAGCTCAAACAGCGTTCAATGGCATGGGAGCTGCTGTCGTCTGTGCCCCATCGCTCCAGCTACATGTCGTCATCGGGGTTAGTCCACCGGTCACTGGCCCACGTGACCGACGGCAACACTAGCAGGGTCGTTAAGCTTGTGAAGGCTTCGACCAATGCTGAGCCAAAGGACGCACGCAAGCTGATAAGCAGGCCACGGGGATCTAACGCCTGAAGCAGCGCATGAAAATGCTAGGCTTTGTCGGTGGAAATCACTGCCACTGCTGAGGTCATGGCAGGGTGATGACCTCTGACAGCAATAACAAAATTTTGCCGTGAATATATCGCCACACTAGTCAGTGCGAGAGGAGATTTCCACGTCCCAGGAAGCTCTCAGCGGAAATCGCACGGTTAAGTTGGGCGAGCTTATGACACCTTCGATTCCGCCGAGTCTGAAAGCAGACGGTGCGCTCCATGATTTACCGGGATAGCTGTGTCCAAAAAGTAGGGAAGGGTAGCCAAGAACGGATCACAATGCTTGCCTAGGTTATTAAAACATGAAAATGTCTGCCCTTCTTGTACTTCGTCCACACAAAAAAAATCCTCTATGAGTGGAACCGAAGCAAAGTTCTGACAACAGCTGCGTTTATGCGACTGTCACAAAATGCCAGCCAAACCTCTGAGAGCGGCCGTCACTTGTCTGGTTACTGTTGGGACTGTTGCGTCAAGATAGTAGGGAAAAATGTTAATCTTGGAAAGCTCTCACCAGACTGGTAGCGAAAAGCAGACAGGAAGCACGTATTCCGAGTAGAGGGAACAAAACATCTCGCACACGACAAGACGAGAAATGCTTTGCTCGACAGGTGGCTCCTATTCTTAGGCTGCAAGGCTTGCTTAAGCAGGAGTTAAGTTTATTTGCTCAACGCGAAAGCAGAGCGCCGCCAGCACCTGACGGCATCGACGATAATACCTGAGCGTAGGCTCACGGGGGCGCTGGGTTTCGTGTCGTTTCCTGTTCGTTCGAAATCGCCCGTCCCAGCCAAGCACTTCGCTCACGCACGCCGTAAGGTCGCGAGAAGGTCACTTAGCAACGGCGCCGCCGTCCCGAGACCTTCGGGCATCGTGCCCAAAGCCAGAGCCAGCCAAGGGCTGTCCAAGATCGCGCGGCGGTCTAGAGGTCACTGGTACCTGTCGCGGGTCGCTGGCACTAGCAGATGATCACCCCCACCTCTGCAGTGAACAGCACACCGTCTGAGGCAATGGTGATCATAAGGATCGCCAGTCGCCCCAGAGGTCACCGGCGACCGTCCGCATATCACCAGCTGGTCTGCAGAGGTGGGCTCCGCCGACCTTGACCTCTGACCTGACCCTTGACCCGGCCCTGGGTCGGCGGCGAACGGCCGGCGCGAGCGCTCCCACCCCAGGCTGAATGGCCGACTGCCCCACCCCGGCCGGCCGCGCCTTTTATACCGGGCACACCGACCCGCCCTGCAACACGTGCAGCGCGCCGACGGGCGCCGCCGACCGGCTAAAACATCGGCACATCAGCTGACTGCCGGCGCCCCGCCCCCTCCCCCCCGCGCGTGGGCGACGAATATGGGCACGGCAGCGGAGGACGTGGAAGATAATTTTTTCCTGCATCCATGACTTCTTGCAGCGTGATGATTTCGCTAAGGCATGGCATGAAAGGACCAGTCCCGGTGGGTAGACTGCACGGTCGGTGCGGCGCTGTCAGCGTCGGCCGATTGCTGACGGCCCAGTCTAGTTCGAGCCGCGCCCGCTGGCGCGCTGAGAGCCGGCTCCAGTTTCAGGCCACTTCAGGGCCTGCCCTGAAAGGAGATCAGGCAGAGGAAGAAAAGGGTTGGGACGCCTGACCTCTTCCATCACGCCTCTTTACAAACCGGGCTGGTGGCGTGCAGCAACACTGCGAAACTGCGCCCTCGTCGCAACTGGGCCCACACATTTCGGAGCCTCCGAACGGGCCCGTCGTTTATTGATGACGGTAGACAGCGAAGCCATTCTTGGGAGGTCAAAATCGGACTCCCCGTCTGCGACGGTCATCTGAGCATTTTCTATTACGACCGGCTTCGCGATTACCCGTCGCTACGGCGCTGGGCGGGGGTCAAGAGGTCAGCCGCGCCGCACGCGCCGCCCTCTCGGGCGCTTGGCGGACCGTGCGCCGCCTCTGCCAGAGGTGGGGTCAACCTGACCCCAGGCTGGAGCCAGGACATGTGTCGGTGGCATTTCATGACCCAGATAGGGCGCCGACACATCACAGGTCAGAGTGCCGCCGACAGCAGCGTCAGGCGCTCGTGACATACGAGTGTTGAAGTCACGTGTCGACGAGTTATAGCGGCCGGAAAGGCCTGCTGCGCTGCAGCGTGTTATATGTGTCAGAACATTAGGAACCAGTCGTTGGTGGTCTATGACAGCAAGGGTCGACGACGGCTTTCAAAATGTTTTGGTTTCTAACATTTTACTAATCCAGGAAAGCCCGCCGTCCGGTTCCGAAGCGTGTCATCATCAAGAGTCGGGCCGGGTGACTGAGAGGTGACGAGCCAGCGCAGTGGGCTTCCTGCACAATACTACACCCGGCGTCACGTGTCGCCAGATCGGCTCGGTCGCCTTGTGATTGTGATGCTATGTGTCGTGCATTGCCCATGACACTTTTCAGGGTAAATTCAGGGTACATTAATGCCCGAATAATACGTACAAAATAGTGCTGTAAGGAATCAAGCAACACACGGTAGATTAAAAACGATAAGTAATATTTTTACAACACAAATGTCATTGAGATATATTTATACATATGTGTATATATATATATATATATATATATATATATATATATATATATATATATATGTGTGTGTGTGTGTGTATATGTATATGTATCTGCATATGACACATTAACATTCGCATGTCATTCCGTATTGCAATGTTGTACATAGATCACTAACAATCATTTTGTATTCCTGGTAGAGTCAGCAATGCCTTTCACTTTAGCAAGTCACCCCTGCTTTGTTTCTCCCGCTGCTCCACATCCGACTTCCCGCGGTAGCTGTCACGTCCTACACGCTCTGAGGGATTTCCCCACAAACGGCTGCCGACTCATGCTTGACTCGCCGATCGCAGCCGATCACCCGTCGCCGTTAGCCACGGCCGCATGAGTCACGTGACGGATCACGTGCCCCGCTCGCCCCCGAATGTGACGTCACCTGCAGCAGAGGCTGGTACGCGAGCGGCCTCAGAGGCAATCCCTGCGGTGGAACTCCACATCGTGAAGTCTTGCTTCAGATCAGGAGCCACCCTGGTGTCAGCACATCGCAGCGCACGCCCTCGCCGGTCGCGGCTGGTGGTCACTTCCGGCGCACGTTCGGAGCCAGGTCCCACGCCCCGTCCGCGGCCAGGGTACGCTCCCCATCCTGTCCTCTCGGCGTGAGTCACCGCCGCCAGCCTGGGAAGCACGCGGCTCACCGGCGCTGTTCAACACGGAAAAAGGTGCAAGGGGCTGAAAAAGATCACAGGGGGGGGGGGGAGGAAATGACAGACAGGTGCAGAAAAGGGGCAAAGGAGTGGAAAGGGGTGAAGGGCGGAACAGGGAAATGGAGAGGTAAATATTGGGTGCCCTGACAAGGTATGAAGCTCAATTGGACAAGGGGGGGGGGGACGAGGAGAGCTGACGACTGTTTGCCGAGGCTTCTGGGTCATGACACGACACGACATGACACCGAACACGACTGCAGAAGCAGCCGTGTGTTAATCCAGAGAGCAGGAGAACGCACGAAAGCCAGGCGGCGCTAAACGTTAGCGGGCATGCTTCGGAAGCAATCGCATTGATGAACATACACCAAGTAAGATTGCTTGGAGAATTACAACGTGGCCACCTGAGGCCTACCCGTCAAAAGCGTAAGCGGAGGCACACATACCACCGACTACCAAAGTTATGTCCAGCCAATGTAAAAAGCGCGGGGCCATATCCCTGAATACGCCCCATGCGTCCACGCATCTCGGTCATGAACTCTTCGCGGTGAACGCCGCTTTCCCAAATGCTCTGGCATAAATATGTCTGCAGAGAGCGAAACCATCTCGTGTGCAACACAAACCCTGCCATGCATGTAAGAGCACTAATTCACCAGGTGGCGATAACCCGGCCGCATATGTCACTAACCATGTACAGGGCCGACAAAGCGTCCTCGAAACCGTCGTAGGGGCCACTACCCCTGAGCAGGGACGACGGGTCGTCCCCAGGGACCACCACCCCTGGGCATGGGCGACGGGTCGTCCTTAGGGACCTACTGCCACTGTACAGGGATAAAGGGCCGTCCTCGGGCCCGCATAGTCTACGCCGCCGAAGCCTCACCTCAGTGCCCACCATTGACGCCGACAGATCCAGCGGCACAGACCCAGCGAGACAGACCCAGCTGAGACAGACCCAGCAGGAGCGATCGGTCCGCGCCGCCGACACGGCTTCAGCCACCGCTCCGATGGACTGTTACCGAGACTGGCGGCTGCAGCGCCGCTCTCCGATGCCCCCGGGCGACCAGTTCGGGGAAACCGAGGCAGGGCCGCCACGTGCGGCCCATCGGCCGCCCGAGGCGTGTCGGCCCGGGCTGAGCTCGAAAGGGGGGGGGGGACCTGACGGCTCGAGATGACGCCATGGAAAACTTTGAACCTACTCCTTTGAGCTTCCGTTTTTTCTCATTTCCTCTGAATCAGTCACTTGTGCATCTCCGCGGGACCCTCCCCCCCCCCGCGGGCCCACGCCAAAGGGCATCCCCGCAGAACCCCCGCCCAAGGGCATAAGGGCATTCCCCGCGGGATCCCCGCCCCACACCCAACCCGACCGCGTGCATTGCGACAGCAACAGCAGGAGCAGTAGCTGGATGGGACGTCGGTGGACCCCGAGGCGGGGCTGGCCGCTCCACAGACCCGGTACGCGCCGGGCCGCCCCGCCACGTCGCCGCCGGCGGCGCTCTTGGCTCGCTGTCCGCCGCCGGCGCTCGGCTGGCAGCGGCCCGCCGCCCGCCTGAGGGACAGGCACGCCGCAACGAGACCGCAGACAGACGTGACGTCACGCAGCTTCCGGCACCCGTTCCCGCTCTCAGGTGGCATTTTTGGAAAATGGGTGGCATCGCATGCAAAATATGTTGTCTTATTCACGAAGCGAGCGGGTGTATCTATTTGCGAAGCTCCACGCTAGGAGTTACAAGCATTATCAGGCCTTAATGTGTTGGTGTTTTTTGACGCGTCCGATGGGCGAGGCAATAAGACACCCGGAACATTTACAATCGTGACAGCTCTTTTTTGAGATCACTCTTGTTTTAGCAATCACAGACCGGGAGAAATAACTCAACCTGCTCTTTGAATGATGGTAATGAACAATGCGCTTTGGAAGGACATTTGGTACGCTATTCACATGCATACTTGCCAGCAAAAAACCTGACATGTTGTCAGCTGACCAGGTTGCATCTCTATAAATACGTCAGTTAGGGGAAGTGTCCCACCTGTGCATCATATTTCAAAAGCATACTTTAGTAAGGCCTCAGGGTCAGTTACGTCTAATAGTAGCACTGTTGTGCTACAGCAGTACCACCAATGTACGATGCAGAGATAAATTTGGATCGTTTTCAAGTCCAAATTAGGCTGTGACCGTTTTGAAATAGCATTACACTCCTTTCCTTCCTTGAAGCTTCAGAGTGCAGCCCTAGTCTGCTGATACGGACGACGGCAGAATCTGCCACTACGCATGCGGCCGTTGCGTGAGGTTTTTCAAACTGATTGGCTGGCCGCCTGAGGCAAAATAATGACTGTCACAAGACAAGTGAAAAATGCTGTTTGCAGCTTTGACCGAGCTTTTTATGCTTGAAATTTCATCGGAATAAGTTGCTAGTATGCCTAGGATAACTAGGCACACTTTCTCATATCATGAAATAGCAACACGTAGCTACGCACATCCATTGCAGAGTATATTTTGGTGACCTCCAAAAGTGATAGGGTTTCTCTAATCTACATGGAATCAACCGTGCCTAGTTCGTGGCGCACGACATGAACACACGAGCTGGTCAGCTCATCAGCGACCTTGGCCAAGGTTACCGCTGAGTGGTTCCATCAATGCACCGTCACGCCGCAGCCTACAGCTTAGTCCAATCGGTTTCGCAGGTACGGCTCATCGCGCGTCTTACCACAAACGAGAGCTGATCGCCGGATCAGTTCGACACACCCCGTCTGTCCACACCCGACCACAAGCCGCTTGTTGCCATCAAGTGCCCGCTTTTGGCTGAAATCGTATTTTTCATCGGCGAGTCTACACGGACTTTTTCATTCAAGAGCTGGATCGGCAGTGGCTCATTGTTGCTGCGCTTTTAAAGAAAGCTTAAAAGTATCCCGCGTCGTGCCAGTCGTTGAACGTGGCGGTCAATCGGTTAACAT